CCTTCTTTTTAAGTGTGTTCGATAGTGTTGCATCATGTTATCATGTCGCGAAAATTTCGAAGGACAACCTGGCATTTTGCACGAAAAATTTTTTTCGCCAGTATGTATCTTGTTATGGCGAGCTAGATGACCGCTATTTAAGTATTAATATTGAAAATACATTATTAGAATAAATAATATCAAATATAAAAAAAGAAAATATTTATTATTAGACACAAACCTTGTTGAAAAGCTTTTACCACATTTCGGGTAGTTACAAACATACTTTCGTGTTTTTGCTACAATAGTATTTGCCGATGTAAAGTTTAAAGACATATGTTGTCTGTATGATTCCAAGAGAGAAAATAACCCTTGTGAGTCAAAGTATCGTGATTTACTTCCGGATAAATTATCATCAACTCCTAAAGAATCGTCATCATTCAATATGTTTGTCGTCGTTCCATCGGATTTTTTTACAAATAATGAAGAATTAAGACGTTTAAGAGAACGAAAAGGTGTAAATGGTAATTGCATATTTGGACTTGTAAACTGATTATTTGCGTAATTTAGCATTTGATAGTCATATTGTGATGAATTAGATAAATTTGTTTGTACTAAAAAAGACGATCTTAAAGAAACAGGAGCTTGAGAGTGCATTTCGAACGATTGTGGAGCATGAAAACATGAGCATAAAGGTAAATGCGAAGGAGATGATTCGATCTGTTGACCATAGCGTGATAATTGTGAATCTTGAAATTGAGAATATCTTTCAAATTGATAGTATTGATCGTAGTGTGTCGAAACTTCTTCAGAAGGATAATAGAATGTGCCTTGCATTGTGATAAATAGCTAAATTTTCTAAAATAATAAAAGAATTACGAAAAGCAATATTTTAGCGTTTAGTTTTATTCGTTTCCACTTAACATTTATAACAAATTACCTACGTATTTTTGCAGTGAGAAAACGAGTTGATTATTTAACAAGAGTTCTTTTGTAAAATTATTCAAATCTCATATATTTCAGATACCAACGAGCAAATAGATGGGTTTTTAGATGGATAAACGAAAATAAATAAAGGCGTCGATTACAAAAAATTATGCAACAAAAAAAAGTGAGATGAAAAAGGTAAGGATATGAGAGGAAAAAACTTTGCTTATAAAGAAAATTTCAAGTACTGTATGTATGTACGTGAAAATCATACACTACTTTCAATGCAATATACTTTGTTTATATGAAATTATATTAAAATTATGCATTACTTTTACTTTTATACATAGCATATATATCATATATATCATATATATCATATATATCATATATTTCATATAGTCTCAAACAGAATTATGAATATACAAGATTAAAGGCCCCTGACAGTATTCAGGAACGAGTAAAAAGTAAAACGTGTAACGCGATCGAACAAATCATCGAATTATTGAAGTTCCTTTCGTTAAAGCCAAACCATATTTGTATTAATTTATATTATGATGTATCACTAAGGGTCTTGTTGATATCACCTTATATTATATGCTAGAGTGGACCCGTTAATACACGTACTAAAATTCTCCTTATATGATCTTATATGATGTGTAAAGTTCTAAATTCAGTTATATGATTTATATGATGAATAAATATCTTCAAATAATTTATTAATCTCAGTGAATTAAATCGGGAATAGTTGTCTAATAATTCCAGTAGTACTCGATAAGTGATCACCATACGTACAAGATCTTCTTATTATGTCATGCGCAACTTTAAAAAATAAGAGTACAATCTTTCAAAAAAGTAATGAAAAGTAATACTGTATATACATGACTTAAATAAAATAAATATAATTAATCATACCGAGTATGCTAGTAAATTGATTCAAGTTTTTAATCAATACAATAGATTAAGAATTATTTAACAATTATCTAGAAAGCACGCTTAATATTATCTGAAAAATTAGATCTCGCTAATAAATATACGTTGTTGAGATATATGATTTGCAGGGTTTGACTCGCTTTTTTCTTTTTAATTTTAATAAAGTCATTTTAAGCATTATTTTGATTATCCGAACTTCCAACATTATATAGTTTATATAGTTTATAAAGGTTGCCTACTATACAATGAACGATTTACAATTATGTATATAACTTAAATTTAATGAACACTATTGATTAAAAGAACGATTTTACACGTATATTTCTTAAAGTCAACCAACTTTTAAGAGAAGGACTGAATTCGCATCACATGAATGCACTGTCACTATAACTTCGGGACATGTCAATCAAATTTCATAACGCGCATATAACAGTAGAGTGCAGAATTATAAAAGCGCCGATCATGCAAAACATTAGATTTATTTTGTAAAAATTACAGTATTTTACAAAAAAAAAAAACTTGGAGTAATTGTAAATATTGAATGATACACTATAAAACATATATTAAACATATATTATTGCCAAACGATATATTATAAATTATAAAAATAATTTTGGTTAGAAGAAAACGAATCTTTTTTAATTTCTTAGTTAATTTGTAATTAGTTCAAAGGTTAACGTCATTTTCTTGTAATTTATCATTAATGATTTAGA